TTGTAGAGAGCGCTGGGTTCTGCATGCATGGCCTTTGTAAGGACTTGAATGTTATCTCTCCTGGGCTCTCCCTTCTGGAGCATCCTGGACTTCCATCCACACACATACCCACCCTCCCCCAGATCAAACTCTGCCCTGCTGTCTGGTTCTCTCTGGCAACTCCTGCTTGCGTGGAGCCCAGTGGCTCCCCTCTCCCAGTTGGGTCACTCCCCTCTCCCAGCTGGGTCTGTGCATGACTGTAGCAAGGACCCTTCTGCACTTCTCTTCATCAAGAGACCTGGGCTATAGTAGCTTGGATATGGAGTGCCCTGCAGACATTTTTTTTTCCAGAGAAGGATGATGGTTTTATTTTTGGTTTTTAAGATACAGTTTTTCTGTGTAGCCTTGGCTGTCCTGGAAGTCACCCCCGTAGACTAGGCTAGCTTTGAACTCAAGAGAATCACCTGCTTCTGTCTGATGAGAGAGCTGGGGTTAAAGGTGTGTACTGCCACCATTTAGCAAGGGCTGATGATTTAGCAAGCAAAGACAATGGATTAGTTACATTTCATTCATTCATTCATCCATTCTCTTTTTTTTTCAGAAAAAGAAAAGAAAAATAGACTTTTTCTTAAACTGTAGTTTTAGGTTTGTCCAAGATGAAGAGGATGTATAAAGATTGTCATGTATCCTCTGATCCTTCACAGACATAGGCTCCCCCACTATAGTTAAATCCCCTGTCAAAGTAGTGGGGCTGTTCACGAGCCTGTATCTTGACATCCCCGTTACCACCATACATGTGCAGATCCACTCATGGTGCCGTAATTCTGTGGATCTCAGCAGATATGTAGCCCCCAAAGCATCATTATCATTTTACAGAGTGTATTTTCATTGTTCTCTCTGAGGTTATAAAAACTGAAAAATAGAAGTTTAAGGTTTTCATTTTTGCCAAGCCAAGGATTGAATCTAGGACTTCACTCCCATCAGGCACAGTAATTAGGGTGATTCTCTTCGCTGATCTGTGTTGCCAGACCCAACTGTGTTGTGTTTTGTTTTTGTTTTTCTGACTCTTTGCCTGCCATTGGATCCCCTTCTACCTGGACTGCCTGGTTGGGTCTCAGTGGGAGAGGATGTGTCTAGTCCTGCTGGGACTAGATGTTCCAGGGTGGGGTGGTACCCAAGGGGTGGGGGAGGAGAACAGGAGGGAGTAATCAGGGGAGGGATGTATAAGAGTGGCCTGGGAGGAGAGGATGGGGCTGTGATCGGGATGTAAAGTAAATAAAAAAATTATTGAAAAAAACAAAGCAAAACCCCCCAAACCAAAAGTGTTTTAGTTTTTACCTACAGTTTTTCAACTTTGCAAGAAAGGAAGCATTTCCTTCAGATGGCTATAAAAGCAACTTAAACAAACTGGGTAGGGAGCTGGTCTTTAAAGGTTGCATACTTAAGTAAGATGGGTGTTGTACGATTTAGGACCACACTCTCTGTTGAACAGGGAAGCTGAAATGTTATGGTAATTAAAAGCTGTCGGATAAAAACATCTTCACATTTTACTTTCAGAGTGGAAGAGATTTCCAAAGGTTCCAGCCAAACAAAACAAGTTAAATGCAGGCTGTTAACAGGTGTGGGGCCGAACTGAAAGCAAACACTAGATGGTAGTGGCCGGCTCACTGTCCTCTTGCTGTAAACAGTCTCTGCTGCTTTTGTTTAGGGGTAGTCTGCTTAGGCTTCAGATTGACAACTGTAGTGTCCTAAAGGTGATTCTCTGTATTGTATTTTAGCACACTTGCAACTATAACCTACTGAGATGGTAGCCTATTATTCTGCTTTTGCCTAGAAAGGATGGTTAAAGTTATGAAAAATGCAAATACAGAATTTAATTTAAGGTCACAAGTAAGTTTGATAACGGTGTTGGAAGCACACAAGAATTTTAACTGGTTTACAGCTGTCTGTGATACAAAGCCAAAGGGCAAGGACAGTGTGGGTTCATTTTATCCTTCTGAGCACAGTCCAGTATTTGGCTTTTATGGTCTATAGTCGGTAAACCTTTTCAGAATGAACCAATAAGTGATGGTTAAGTTGCGCTTTACAACTTGAGTGAGCATAAGTCACCAACAGACATCAGAGCAATACAACTGATTCCCAGTGTGGTTTTTCTTATAGAATTAAAAAACAAAAATGTTAAATGGTTGAAGATTTAATCTTGGGCGGGTAAGATAGTTTAGCAGGTAAAGGCACTTGCTGCCAAGCCTGATGACCTGAGTTCAGTCCCCAGAACTGGGGAAGAGAATGGAGTCTTGCAAGTTGTTTTATCTCTGAGTACAAACACATACCCGGGGAGTGTGTGTGTGGGAGGGGCTGGCGGCAGGGGGAGAGAGAGAAATTACAAGATATTTTTTCTGTATGCTTATTTACTTATTTGTGTATCCGTGTGTGCATGTATGTATGTATACGTGTGTGTGTGTGTGTGTGTGTGTGTGTGTAGGCCAGAGGTGTCTTCTTCAGACACTTTCCACCTTATGTTTGGGGACAGGGTCTCTTTACTGAACTTGACCTGGGCTTACCTTTGGACTAGATTGGCTATTGAGAGCCCTCCAGGTGTCTTCCACCCACATCTGCCCCTGGCGATGGGGTTACAGGCATGCAGTGCCACATTCATCTTCTCTACAAGTGCTGGGGGGGGGGTGAACTCAGATGCTTATACTTCCACAATGACACTTCACTAATTTCTACTGTCATTTTTCTTACAGCACAAAAATACCCTGACAGAAAGCAACTTAGAGGAGAAAGGGTTAATTTTAGTTCACAGTTTCAGGTTATAGCCCATCCATTTTAGGAAGTCACAGTGTCAGGAGCTAGAGGCCGATGGCTGCATTAGAATCATAGCCAAGAATAGAGAGAATAAATGCACACATGCTTGTTTGCTTGCACTCAGTTTATTTTCTCTACTCCTTCCCTCATTTCTCCACTTCTGCACAGTTCAGACTCAGTTACACAGTTCATTCCCTAGGGTAACCTAGGGAATGGTGTTGCCCACACTAGACTGAGTTTTCCCACATCAACTAACAAGACATCCATCCTGCCAAACATTACTAATGGTCAACTATTATAGGCAATCCCTCATTGAAACTCTTCATAAGTGATTATAGGTTTTGTCAAGTTAAACTAGCTTATCAACTGATTATTAACTGAGCTATCTTTCCAACCCCTCAGATTAGTTTCTTAATAGATTAAGAAAAAAATGTCCACATGTCATATAATTCAGCTGTTTAAATCATAAAATTTCATATTTTTAGCAACTTAGCAGGGTTATAAAGCAACCAAACTCTCTAATTATATTATTCCTTACTTATTCCATCTATCCTCTATCCCACTTTCTAGGTATCCACTAATTTATTTTTGTCTTCACGGATTGGCTTATTTGGGACATTTTATATATTTTCATGAAATAAAATATCTACCTTTTTGTGTTTGTCTTTTTTCACTCATGTTTGTTTGATATTTTCATATCCATGTTGTAGCATGGATTTATTCTTATTCCTTTCATTGCTATTTAATATCACATTTGTTTTGCTGTGTCTCTGTTGATTGACATCTGAACTGCTTACACGTTTTAGCCCCTAAGCACAATGCTGCTGTAGGTATTGACACGTATGAGTTCTGTTTAAATGTGTGTCTCATTCTCTTGGATGTATGTTAAGGGGTGGGTTCCTGTGTCTTACGTTAACTCCAAGTTCAACATTTTGAGGGATTGCTAGGCTTTTCCATAGAGGTACATTATTAAATTCCCAGCAACAGTGTATGAAGGGTGCAGAAAATCCAGACTCTAAGTAAAGAGATAAACTGGGTCTGGTTGAATAGATCTACAATTCTGCAGCTGGTGGCTAAAGAAGGGACCTGGGGTGAGAAGATTGGGAGTTCTAATCCAGCCTTGGAAACTTAGATCCTGTTTTAATTTTTTTTAAAAAGAACTTTGGCTGGGCAGTGGTGGTACACACCTTTAATCCCAGCACTTGGGAGGTAGAGGAAGGCGGATTTCTGAGTTTGATGCCAGCCTGGTCTACAGAGTGAGTTCCAGGACAGCCAGAGCTATACAGAGAAACCCTGTCTCGGAAAAAAAAAAAAAAAGAACTTTTGCTATATAGCTCAGTGGAAGAGCATTGACCCAGCATGCACAAGGCCTTGGTTTGATTTTTAGTAACATGAAATAATGAAAGGAATAATAAAAAAGGAAAAAACAAAGTGCTATGATGCCTTTATTGAGGCAGACGTGACAGGTGCTAAAACCCAGCTTGTGTCTCTTCGATGACCGGAAAGTCAGTGAGATGGACAGCTGTCCTTCATGTTCTCTTCGGTAGAGGTTAGGTCACCTTCATGTTCTCTTTGGAAGAGGTTAGGTCACAGGGCTGCCTCCAGCTGGCCCAGTGTTGGAGGACTTTTACTGATGCTGACAACAGGCTCTTTGCTCAGCTGCTCTAGTCTTGCTGTTGTGGACTGTCAGAGGCTCCTCTGTCACTGCTTTCCCTCAGCTGTTTGGTGTCCCCCTGGAGTCCTTGGACCATATATTCCCAGTATCACCAGCTGATGGCTCCTGCCTTACCTTTTCCTGCTTCTCTTTTGGTCTTGTGAATGCCTTTTTCTTACGTTTTTATTAACTAACTTAAAAAAAAAACCTCTCTTTTATCACAAACTACACTTAATGTGTGCTATGTTACTATAACTGTCAATTTGTGTGTGTGTGAGAGAGAGAGAGAGAGAGAGAGAGGAGGGGGAAGAGAATGTTCTTGTGTGTGTTCAAACGTGTATGTCATGGTGTACATACCCTGGTATGTGTCAGAGACATCTTCCAGGGTTAGTGCTCACCTCTCGTCTTTGAGACAAGGCCTCTTGTTTGCCCGTGTGTGCCAGGTGAGCTGACCCTTGAAGCTTCTCTGGACTCTCCTGCCTTCCTCTCCTGTCATGCTGTGGGGCACTGGGACTACACATGTTACTACTGTTGTTTTACATGGGCATCTGAACACAAGATGGAGAGCGTGGAGCAGAGCACACAGAGAATCCAGGAGTTCCGGCAGCTCACGGCTGACATGCAGGCGCTGGAGCAGAAGATTCAGGATAGCAGCTGCGAGGTGGCATCAGAGCTCAGGGAGAATGGGCAGTGCCCGTCTCGGGAGTGCAGGTCTGTGGCTGTGGGTAGTGATGAGAACATGAATGATGTTGTTGT